CCTGCTGAGGGCATAGCTGTTCATAGCCCATTCAGTACTCTTCAGCCAGCCTTTTTGTAATGTAAACCCAACTAGATGACATTTAGTATGTTAAAACGTTTGTAACACTGTAGGAATTCACTACTTCACTATGTTTATATAAAATCCTGTTCAATTTTTTCACCCTTACATCTGACATCCAGCAGCCTCTTAGATGCCTGTGTATTGTTTCTTTAACCCCTTTATGCCGGCCGCACACAAATGTGTGGCCTCCCGGTGTCTGGGCCTAGACGCTGAGCAGCCGCACATTTGTGTTCATGTAACAAAAAACATATGTGCTGAGAGCACGCGCCCTGCGTGCTCCCAGCACACGTGCGGTACTCTCGGAAAGGTCCTGGTCCGCTCTTTCGATTGGGACCTTTCCCGATCATGTGACCACTGTGACGACGCATCACGGTGGTCACATGATCCCTAAACCACGGCCCACCCACCCCTCCTCCCGGCATCTGAAACTCTTAAAGGGCCGGGAGGCGCTGGCGGGAAGGGGTTAAACAGCCACTGTTTAATGTAGTCTCCATCAGAAGTCCGGGTGACAACACAAGAGCACAATTGGGAGACGGGGACAAAGCATTATCACCATATACCAGGAATGCCTGAACTAACAACCTTCATTGCAGGATCAGCAGGGATTATAATGAAAACTGCAGATTTACAATCACCATAACGTGTTAAAGTTGATATGAGGTTCTGGTGATTGGATTTTACATATACTTTCGTGTACATGCTGCTGCACACAGAGCACCCAGTAAATGAGGAAATCTCACCTTTTCTCCTCATCGCCAGCTTATTAAATAGATCAGACATGAGATCTCCTCCACCTCCTGTGGCTCTCACTGGAAGACAGAAAAGATATTGTAGCCATTTCAGTCATGGTACCCTTCTACAACAACTTAACTCATATGGGACTTGGAGGTCTCCAGTTACAATGATCCCAACAAAGTTCTTCAGATAAGAATGGGATCCTAAGATATAAAGAACCATAGACGATATATCCATAGTGAAGCATCCTTACATGGTAGCCTTGCCAGCATTAATGTATAACTATAGGTAAAAAGTTGTTTTTTTTTTCATTTTGGATAGAGAAAGGAGGGTTATAACTCCATCAGATGTTTTTTTGCCATCTCTTTCCCACTGCAGATATTCACTTGTCCCATAGCCAAATAGGAAGTGATAGGAAATCCCTGCAAATTAAGGGAATTCCGTGGAGACACCCCTGGTCCCCAATGGAAGATTTGAACTGTATTACTTTTCTGGGGACAACTCAAAATTAGGGATTTTCTTTTACTTTCATTTTCAATGATAATGGTAAGCAGGACAAGTAGAGAGGGGGAATCTCCTTACCGGGGACACTGACAGCAATATAAACCTGACAGGTGTTTAAATCCCTCTGCAGTCTATTTAAAACTAAAACAAAAGGTTGCCTTTAGTTATACTTTAACACTGGTATCTCTATTGTGCAGTGCAGAAAACACACTAAAAGTTCCCTTTCAAAACCATTTATAAGGCCTGTCACTGTAACCTCCTTATTTAAGAGCCCATTCAGTCCTGGATCATTGTGTTAACGCATGTGTGTTTAAAAATGCTTTTTCTGGCATTACAAGTGTTGTGTTAAGGTAGCCCATTTAAATTAATGGACAGGCAGTGCACCAAAATGCCCCCCCCCCCAAAAAAAGGACACACAGAACATTAATGTATCAGTGTCCATTGTGGCATGGTGTAACGCATGTGCATTGCCATAGTCGATTAAGGTGCCATTGTAAACACAGTAATGCACATAAGGCACCACAGCAGAAGTGTGTTTTGATCCTCAATGATAGATCTCTAGCTTCAATAGTTCAAGCTAGTGGTGATAGTAACTCAGCCCAGAAAACTCCACCTAAAAACTACCTAAAAACTACATATTACTTCTGAGTGAAAATGGCTGCCTGTTTGTGCGTTATCACGTGTTAACATTCGCTGTGTTAGGCAACCCATTTAAAATGAATCATCTGGCAATGCACAAGAAAACATACCTGCGTTGTGCTGCGAGGTTGATTTACTATAACTGTAGAGGGCAAAATCTGGTGCAGCTCTGCAGAGAAACCAATCAGCTTTCAGGTTTTTTTTTGTGTGAAAGTTTAATTGAACAAGCTGAAGTTAGAAACTGATTGGCTACTATGCACAGCTGCACCAGATTTTGCACACTCCAGTGTGAACCAAGCTTTACCCCCGGTTTACATCTGTGTGGGTGGTAAATCCGTGCAGCCGCACCACCCGCACAGAGAAATGCGGACCCACGGGCGGGTGCTATTACTTCTAATGACACGCCACCCGCACTGGAAAATGCAACCGTACTGGAAACCGAGGTTCCTGTCCAGGCTGCGTTTTCCAAAGAAGTGCAGGGACTTCTTCCTTGCGCGTCACGGGCACGGGAGTCCATTCAAATGAATGGGCTCTCGTGCCCGCGCAAAACGCGGCCCGCATGGCCACTTAGATGTGAACCGGGGGTCACTGCCTTCCAGAACTCCTTTTAAAACCCAATTCTTCTGGTTTGGTTGGATTGTATCTCGTTGGATAAATTTCACTTCCTGTTCTGATGACCAAAAATCAATTACTGTCTGTGTACCTGCTTAACAGCTTTCACTCACTTCCAGTGACAGTGCCCACAACAAAAGAACAATTACAGAAATGCCAATAAAAAACGGAAAGTGTTAAAACATTTGTCAGGTTCTTTTGCAATTTCTGTCACTGTTAGGGAGACTTTCCTTCAGTTCCTGTTTTGGTTGCAGTTTCTCGTTAAATATGTGAAGCTAACATCTATTTTTCAGTATGGCTGACATCATGCCTCACAATATACAGATTTCTTAAGCACTTATTTTTTTCTGCCAGTCTGTTGCAAAGTTTCTTACCTGTATGTCCTTCCAATAACAGGACTTCCTGTAATAGGCTGATAATGCGAAGCCACACAATTTGCAGCAACACTGTCAGCCTGCTGTGTGCTCTTCTTCAAGTGGCAGCTGGGCTGCCTTATCAGGTCTGTCAGAATGACCAACTGAGGAGTGCACACTGAGGTTGACAACACTGCTGCTAATTGCAAGGCAGCAGCCTAGCGGTTTCTGATTGCTACAGGAAGTGCTGTTACTGGCAGGATTCCTAAGCAAGAAACTTTACAACAATTTGCCTACAAAACTCTATTCAGCTAGACATATTACCAAACATACACTATATTGCCAAAAGTATTGGGACCCCCTCTCCAAATCATTGGATTCAGGTGTTCCAATCACCTCCATGACCACAGGTGTATAAAATCAAGCACCTAGGCATGCAGACTGCTTCTACAAACATTTGTGAAAGAATGGGGCGCTCTCAGGAGCTCAGTGAATTCAAGCGTGGTCCTGTGATAGGTTTCCACCTGTGCAATAAGTCCATCCGTGAAATTTCCTGGCTACTAAATATTCCACGGTCAACTGTTAGTGTTATAACAAAGTGGAAGCAACTGGGAACAACAGCAACTCAGCCATGAAGTGGTAGGCCACGTAAGATGACAGAGCGGGGTCAGTGCATGCTGAAGCACCAACTGTCTGCAGAGTCAATAGCTAAAGACCTCCAAACTTCATGTGGCCTTCAGATTAGCACAACAACAGTGCATAGAGAGCTTCATGGAATGGGTTTCCATGGCAGAGCAGCTGCATCCAAGCCTTACATCACCAAGTGCAATGCAAAGAATCAGATGCAGTGGTGTAAAGCACGCTGCCACTGGACTCTAGAGTAGTGGAGACATGTTCTCTGGAGTGACGAATCATGCTTCTCGGTCTGGCAATCCGATAGACGTGTCTGGGTTTGGCGGTTGCCAGGAGAACTGTACTTGCCTGACTGCATTGTGCCAAGTGTAAAGTTTGGAGGAGGGAGGATTATGGTGTGGGGTTGTTTTTCAGGGGTTGGGCTTGGCCCTTTAGTTCCAGTGCAGGGAACTCTTAAGGCGTCAGCATACCAAGACATTTTGGACAATTTCATGCTCCCAACTTTGTGGAAACAGTTTGGGGATGGCCCCTTCCTGTTCCAACATGAGTGCATACCAGTGCACAAAGCAAGGTCCATAAAGACATGGAGGAGCAAGTTTGGGGTGGAGGAACTTGACTGGCCTGCACAGAGTCCTGACCTCAATCCGATAGAACACCTTTGGGATGAATAATTAGAGCGGAGACTGCAAGCCAGGCCTTCTCATCTGACATCAGTGCCTGACCTCAGAAATGGGCTTCTGGAAGAATGGTCAAACATTCCTATAGACACACTCCTAAACCTTGTGGACAGTCTTCCCAGAAGAGTTGAAGCTGTTATAGCTGTAAAGGGTGGGCCAACTCAGTATTGAACCCTATGGACTAAGACTGGGATTCCATTAACGTTCATGTGCGTGTAAAGGCAGGCATCCTGATACTTTTGGCAATATAGTGTATATGTCTAGCTGTATACACTTTAGGATTCAGCAATGGCAGCAACGCACATTAGCACTGCAGCAGCTGTACATTGATAATTCTGGAAAACAATGGTATTAGCAGCAGCATTAGTAACTCTAATTCTCCAAGTACAACTCCACGTCTCCAGTATCTGCTCCCATTAGCACCCTCTGCTGGATACTGGAGTAATGGCGGTGATTTCATTTCACAGCTGAGACACACAACAGCACAGTGTGCACACACCTCACCACCCCACAAGTGTTATCAGTAACTGGCAGGCGTGTACAGAGAAGGATCTGCTGCCAAATCCCAGCAGCCAAGAGTGGAAGCTGAGGCTGTTTTTGGCACCCGCCTGGTACCAGCCTGCCAGTTACACTCAACACCTCCAATCTCCCAACTAGAACTAAGCTGTGAGCCCTGCCCTAGGAAAGTCACTGTCACTTTGGATCCAGTGCCAACCTTGTTCTTGCTCCTTCATCTTCTTCTTTTCCAACTTCTTCTCCTTCACACTACGCAGGTTGGCTTTCCCTATTCCTCCCGCCTGGCGGATGGACTCCAGCAGCGATGCCCTGCCATCTGATGGTTTGACCACTTCACTTGGTGCTCCCTGAACCACAGCTGGTGAAAGAGAACAGGAGAAAAAAATCCTAGTGAGGGGATAGGCTGACTGATCAGCAAACATACATACAACTGCTTCTGCAGTGTGCACATGACAGGTCCTGTTTGAAGTCTGCTTCCCCTTACCTGGACTGCCATTCTCGCTATCCGCTCCTCTGTGCACAGGCTTTCCAATGATTGGCTGCATAGGAGGTGGTGCAGGTGGTGACAAAGAAGGAGGAGCGGGTGGTGGAGGGGGGGAGGCGGCGGAGGAGGAGGTGGCGGCGGTGGGAGGAGATGTCCATTTTGAGCATCTGTAAATAATTTAGAATGACAATAATAATTTTGCTGCTCTTCTTTCCTTCAGTCTAGGGGAAAGCAGGATGCTGTTTGAAGCTTATCAAAGCCCATGAACAAAGAATGTTATATATTGCAGTTTACCTGTTCTTAGATGTGGCTGCATTAGTTTTCCTTTTTAAGTTTTTTCCTTTAATTTTCACCTGGTAATCCTGCCAGTAACACACTTTGTGTCCTAGGGGGACAACACTCATTGTACTGTATCTATGGAGGAGGAGCAGCACTTTCACCCTAGGACAAGAGTACAAAAAATGCCCCCTCTTCTCTTATTCATAACAAAGAGAGGAGGTGTTCTGTAGTCCAAAGAGAGTTAAAAACAATGTGAATGATAAGACGTTCAGCACCTAAACATTAAGTGTGATTTGTACAGACCACAGGATACCAACTGCAGCTGGCTGGAGTATGCAACATACAGCAGAGTGTATAGGATGAAGCAGTGTTCGTTATGGAATACAAAGTGCAGAGTGCAGCTTTCTGGCGTATGTAACATACAACACAGTGTACAGAGGGGCAGGTGGAGTTACTATCAAGAGGGTTGTCCACAATCATGTGTAAAAGTCAAACTCCTTGACAACTCTTCTATTTCTCACGGACTCCTTCTATGCCCATTATGAGGGATCCCACCATCCCTGCTGGGACTGTATTTTATATTATAGAGAATGTAAGAGTAGGGGTTGAAACACAAAAAAGGTGGATAGGAACATATTTGTTGTAGCAGCAATAACAAAACACCAAGAAATGCTAATCTCAAGAGATACAGGTAACCACAGAGACACTAAGCCCTCAGGGTTCAATCTAAACCAGGGGTCTCCAAACTTTCCAAGCATAGGGCCAGTATACTGTCACTCAGGGTTTAGGGGGGCCAGACTGTAGACAGTGGGGGTAGAAAATGCCCAGCATCAGTGCGCCATCATTGGTTTTAATGGGAGGAATGTGTCCCAAGGGCCAAATATGGGCAAGCAAAGGGCCACATCTGGCCCTCGGGCCTCAGTTTGGAGACCATTGATCTAAACCTTAGATCTTAATTTAGGGTATAATAGCACTTTAACAGGAGTACACATCAGTACATTTTCCCATACCTGTCTTGGAAGGTTCTATGACCTCAGTGCTGAAGGTCGGAAGCTCGGGGATTGGACCTCCTGGAGCTGATGGAGCAATTCCAGGGCCAAGATCAGCACTGTACATGAGGTCATCGGCTACTCCTGGTAGGTCTGGCAAGTAATATGGGACGTCAATCTCCGGGACCTGGCCCAAGTCCGGAACATAGAAGTAATTCTCTGCTGTCTATGAACAAAGCAACAAGTACGTTTTACATATTACAATTATTATACACTGCATATTATATACTTACTATTACCATACAGGATTTAAAACGTGCCAACACAGTTTGTGCAGCTTTTTACAAAATAAAGGGAGACGGTACATACAATTCAATACCAGAGGGTTCAGATGGTCCTGCTCATAAGAACATACAATCTAAAAGGGAGGGGCAAGTGATACAAAAGGTAATATGTTATACACCAGACTTACCTGTCGCTCCAACTGTTCTCTCTTGGTGATAGAGAGGGGTGCATCAAATAGCCGATCCCCATCCTCGCCCTCAGCTGCCTGGTTAGTGCGAGTGACCACCCCAGCCAGGGGGTCCAGAAAGACGTATTTCTTATAGCTGTAAGCAAGATCGAGTTGCTTTTATTATGGGATAGAGCTACTAAGGTAGGATGTTAGCACTATTGCTGCAAGCTTAGGCTACTTTCACACTGCTCCATTGCATAAATGTGGTAAAATCGCATAAAAATATGCATTGTTACCATGGTTTTCCTGCATTTCTTTTGAAAAAAGACATGCGACTCAAAAACACAACTGAGGGTGCATTTAAACACTTTTTTGATGCCTTTCCATTTATTTCAATTGGGAAGTGCATTTTTGGTGCAGTTTTTTTTTTTACCACACCAAAAATGCAGCTTGCAGGACTTTGAAAAACGCAACGGACCCACAACTGACCAGTATGAAAATTTCCATAGGATTTAATGGCCATGCATTTTTCTTAATGCAAAAATGGAAGAAAAACTAATCAGCACAAAAACAGCCTTAAAGTGAGCCTTCCTTTCTAAGTAGCATGGTTAAACAGGTTTTCCCCCGTCCCGACAACGCTGCTAGGCGGGAAACTAATTTGTTACTGACAGTTCTTGTCTCTGGCAGCTTCTCCAAAGATCTGCTCTGAAATTAGCAAAATAAACCACATGACTGGCAGCACTGTGTGTTTATCAGGGTTGCTTTTACACACATTGAACCCTAAATATCCTCCTTAACATGTGAGCCAAAGAAACGTATTAGTTTTGTGACATAAAAAAGCAGCTGCCAAAAAGACCAATAAAGTCTCTATAATAAAACATATGAAAACAATTGCAGCTCTTATGATGAGACTGCGGAAAAAAACATACTGACTTCCACCACTGAATCTAATTGAAATACAGCATCCTATATGTGTAAGCATCAGAAGTGAGAATTCTTTGGGTACCATATAATACCTCTAAAGCAGAAGCTTACCTGAGGAGGTCAATATTCATCAGAGTATGGTTCAATCCCCACGCATGATTAGAAATACACCTTTGCAGCCTGCAATATTGCATTAAACAAGCGGTATCCGCAAGATGAAAAGATGATATTTCCATAATGCAGATCATCCAAGGTAGGTTATCTAAAAAGGTTTCCAAAAGCAATAAAAGTGCTTCCAATGCTTTGAAGTAATTTAAAAGTGGTTGTAAAAGCTCAAGGTTTTTTACCTTCATGTATACTATGCATGAAGGTAAAAAACCTTCTCTGTGCAGCAGCCCCCCCCCCCCCCCCCTAATACACATCTAAGCCCCCTCTCGATCCAGCGGTGTACACTTGGAGTCTCAGCTATCCCAGAACTACCTCTTCTCATTTGCTGAGACAGCAGTGGGAGCCATTGGCTCCCACTACTGTCGATCACATCCAGTGACCCAATGAGAAGGGGCGGATAGGATAGTGAGAAGATAACCCTACCCCTACTCAGCTACCTCTACTCCCCAGCAGCAACTCAGACAGCCTTCTAATTCTTAAATGTCCCAGTCCTGGTCATAGGTTCACTTTAATACACTAACACAGGATGCTGAATGTTTAGTCCTCCACAGCCAAGATTGGTACTAATCCTCAGAATAATAGGATTAGTTGCATCTAACACAGTGTACATCAAACATCATTTTGTGCCTCCAACATAATGTACATATATGCTGTTTCTCCTCTTTGTTCATTCTTCTACAGATATTGTCAACCATCACTCCTTATAATGCACCTCTACTCACAGATTCTCAGTTGTGTTGAAGAGTAAAAGAGAGCTAGCAGAATTGATGTTTCGAGGTAGACTGCCCAATCCTTCCTCTGCTCCTTCTTCCTCCTGAGCCCTGGAGCCGACATATACTGGAAAATACTTCAACTTTTCCTGGAAAGAACAGAGAAGCTTAAAGTGAACCTTCCCATAAGGTTACATGAATAAATTGCTGACATCTCACAATATGCAGAAAACAGTATCATTTTTCAGAAAAATGCTACCTTCATGGGCTCATGGGTCGCAAGGCCCCAACTGCCAGATTTAACTTTTTGTGGTTTTTGTGGCCCTGCAGTGCAGCAGCAGTTCACAGCTGAGGGAGGCTTCTCTAAGCAGCTACACCTCAGCCCTGGTCTCATGACACAGAGGAGGAGAGGACTTTTCCTCACTCTGATTGCTGCATCTGATTTTTGTTGAGTAGTTCTCCAGGAGGAAAAGGAAAGGTTTCTGCGGGGGGGGGGGGATTTGTGCTAGATGAGATTTATGCTTGAAGGGGGATTTATTTATTTCAGGTACTTATATAGTGCCATCAATGTACGCAACGCTTTACATATATATTGTACATTCACATCAGTCCCTAACCCTCAAGGGGTGTACAATCTAAGGTCCCTAACTCACATTCATACATACACATACCAGGGCCAATTTAGACAGGATCCAATTCACCTACCAGCATGTCTTTGGAGTGTGGCAGGAAACCGGAGTACCCAGAGGAAACCCACGCAGGCACAGGGAGAACATGCAAACTCCAGGCAGGTGGTGCCGTGGCTGGGATTAAAACCAACGACCCTAGTACTGCCAGGCAGAAGTGCTAACCATTTAGCCACTGTGCTGCCCAGTACTGGCAAAGAGGGGCTATACTCTGTACATTATGCACCCATGTTCCCTGCACTCTGTGCATCATCCACTACTGAACTCTAACTGTTTACAATATGTTTTACATTTTATACTTTTGACCACTGTTCTTTCTACGCTGGCCTTCATATGAGATACTCCCAACCATTGTACTCTTCAGTACATTATAAAATCCTGAAGTTCTTCTTCAAGGTAGGTTGTGTGCAGAAAAGCGTATATGATGGAACTATTTCATTTTTCATTGTGTATACACTGAGTAGGTTCAAGCTGTTTTTTTTTTTTTTAAACTATGCCCCTTTAAGCCCCTCCCACTGTAAACAACATTTGGCTATGCCCACTATTTGGTAAGGTGTACTATGAGAGCTGTCTCACACTTCTTCTCCGAGTACCCACACGTCTTTCACAATTCTAGCAACTCCACTGGAACCAAGGCACTTTTGTTAAAGTTTTTTAGGGTGTACCTGCTATGCCCAAGGTCCAGAATGTTACCATCTGCTCACTTTGTGCCTTTCTGCTCCTCACCACGCATAACAGTAATATTTATTTAATGATACTGCTCACCTGCAGGGCTTGCTCATCCAGAGGACGATGTTTGCTCTGGATTTTGTGTCGTGGCCTTTTCTCAGAAAACAGGTCCTCTGCACCAGAAAAGATGGACGTGTATTCCTGAAGGCGGTCAGGGGCTGGATACTTGGCACTGGAAAAAACCTGAACAGGCAGAGAAATGGGCTATTCAGATCTAAGGAGCCAATAACAAGTGGATTAAGCAACAGGCAAGAGTTCTATTCAACAAGTATCATTTGCCATAATGATTGTTCTTTTTATCAATCAATGCTGACAGCTGAAATAGTAGAAGTAATATTAAACCCTTTGTTTTTTTCCATACCAGTATTAATATTTACCACTTCAGTCTGTGCAGTACTATTTTTTTCCCCCCAAATACAACCTCAAACACTTTTTTTAAATCACAAAAATCTACTTTCTCATTGTTAGAATCAAACAAATTGACATCCATGCAGCTGTGGCATGAAGTAAAATATGTCTGTGCCAAGTGTATAAAGGCAGATGAAGACTGTAGAACCAACTGTCAATAAAAGGACTGGATGAATGCCTGAGATCACCAGTACATTGACCATAGGGAGAACTGATGGGATTTACTGCCCACAACTATTCAGTAGTGCACCAACCGCAAAACAATCCCTCCGTTATTGGTGGTCAGTGGCACATAAAAGATAAGTTCACCTTTTGCACAAAAACAATAAATGCACAATCTGCGATCAGCAGATTGCTGGTGCCATGCAGGTCTCCTGCAGACCTGTCAGTATATCTGCTTGCCCATACAGGATGTACGAGAAAACAAATATACTGATAGGAAGATTCAATGAACTACCACGGTGCTCCACAGCACCGCGGTAGTTCACTGAAAACTACAAGCTTGCAGTTCATTCATTCACGGAACTCTGAATGAATGACGCGGCCGTGTAGGCAGAGCCCTGTACAGCCGTGCGGTTTTCAAATCTGACAGATAGCTTAGGGAGTATGGGGAACTTCTCCCCATACTTCTGTTGCAGGAAGGGGGGGAGCAGCAGGGCGGTGACTGCAGCATTGGGAACATGTTACATGTTCCACCCTAAAAAAATGGATGGAACATGTTCCCAAAGGTGAACTTATCCTTTAAGAATCCTCAACACACACACACTCCTCAACACAATCACTGGTAATTAGTAACATTTTGAAGTCCCTATCCCTTCCATAACTGAAGGTCAGCAGCACTTTAACCCCCCCATCCTCCAAACAGTCCCACATCATTGGTGGACAAAGGCACTCTCATTGGCTCTGTCCCTTTTGCCTGCACTCTGCCGTTTCCGGTCACAGTAGATGACATGACTGTGTGTGTCTGTGTGTTGGGCAAGCACAAGAATGTACACAATCAAGGACGTATGGGTGCATCCACCACCACAGTATAGGTGCCAAGTGGTCTTTTACTTACCACTTTCCCAGCTTGTGCAGCCACTGCAGCAAGATGGTGATCCAGTGCTTAGTTAATGCCTCTCACCTTAATAGCCTTTTTGCTGCCTTTGATCTTCTCTATCTTGGCCTGTGCCAAGCTGACGCGATCGTTGATTTTCTGAGCTGTGTTCTGTTTGTCTCCACCCTCTGGAGGATCCTGAAAAGGCACACACATTCACTAATCATACAACAGTACCTGGGTAAAATCTACACTATGCACACAATTCAGATTTTTAGTTCAGTCATTAGTAAGGATGAATGGACTCATTTTACAGCCAATTAAATCTGGTAAAAATTAGCCTCAAATTTTACATGGGGACCGCTTCTGAAAAACTCATGTTATGAAAAAAAAAAAAAAAAAAAAGAAATCACATTGATTTCCATGTCAGCTCTCACATGGTGATCAAAGGCATGACAATAGTGAGGTCTGACATGCCCCAAACTATGTAGAGCAAATACAGAAGAAATACTGGACCCCATGCAACCCTAAGTTTCCAAAAAAAAATTCACAGGTTGGTACCAAAAACAGTCCAATTTAAATCTTATGTCTGTGCTAGGCATTCATGGAAGGTGACACTTGGTGAAAACACAGGCCAACTTTAGATGTATTTGACAGAAAGCAGAGATATCATAAATCTCCACTATGTAGGGTCTGCAGATAAATAACGATATGGTCCTGCTGGGAATAGTCTGGGTGCAGTACAGGAATACACATCTGCGATGGTAGTTATTTTTCCCCATTCTAGAGGAGAACACCTGCACCTTATTTAGACCCAAAAACATTATTTTGGAAAAGCAATTTTCCCTTGCAGCTACCAAAACGGTGTTTGCCTATAAACACAGCCACACAAACACTATAATAAAGAAACTGGCAGCGCGAAAAATTACAATAAATACATGCATATCAACTAAAACATTCCAAATAGTGCATCAATAACATATATGTGACAGCGTCCATAAAGTTGCAATGTCTTAATTTATTGTGCAAATCCAAATTAAAGTGCTAAACAAAATGTGCAAATCACAAAATAAAGTGCTTTGTATGATTTCCCCCTGGTGAACACACTATGTGTATATCTGGTGCAGCCCTTGGAAGAGTATCCCTCTATAGATCAGACAGGTCCAGGGCCACAGCAAATAAGGCTCCGACACAGAGTTCCCCTTAAGAGATGTGTGGGTGTTACTCTTGCAGCAGATAGAACCTCCCACTCTGGATGGAATCGGAGTAACACAGCTTCTGAAAAAGAGGGGGTTCTCCCCATGCGGGGTCAAAGCAAAAAGATGCCCATGGTGTGATATCGTTTAAATAAAGCAAATTTTATTAAAAGGATAAAGGATGCATCCAATAGATGGCAATGGGAACGGCAGGAGACAATAAAGCACTAACTGTCCCTAGAAGGAAATGGCCGCCGGAGCTCCACGATGCTCCGACGGCGTGACGTCAACGGCGCGAGCAGGCTCCTCCTTACGCGTTACGTGCCACGCACATCGTCAGAGGGAGAGCCGGGAATAACTAAGGACTATTGATTTAAGCGCTGCACTATTTTCTTTGATATTATTTATTGAGGTTTTACTGGTTGCCTTGAGTGTACAGCTGCTGAACTGATTAGCGCTCACTTTTTTTACTTTGTTTACCTACACTATGTGTATATGTTTACATTCACTGTTGGAGAATTGTGTGGCACTTTTCTGTGGGATTATTTAGATGTATTTAAGAAGACACAAAAGGACTCATCGGTGTCTTGAAGCATTTTATTTTGTGATTTGCACATTTGTTAAGCACTCTAATTTGGATTTACACAGTATTTTAAAAGACTTTCATGGGACACTGCAACTTTATAGACGCTGTCACATAGATGTTATTGATGCACTACTTGGAATTTTTTAAATGATATGCATATATTTTCATTTTCATTTTTTAGTGCTGCCCATTTCATTATCACACCTAATTTACAAGGTCCAGAAGGCTAATAAGCCACATTAAACTTTCTAGGAGGCATTTGCATGCAATCTGTGTTACACTTGGTAACTAGCACATCGTAAATTCAATCTGTTAAATAATATGCTGGTTGTCGAATTGTGAATCTCTGTCTCAGATGGAAATAAGATTTTTGACTTTCCAGTAAAACCCATTTACCTTAAAGACCCAAGGGCCCATGGAGAGGCCAAAAGGAAGGGCAACCAAGTGGTAATGCCGATCGCCCAGCACAAATACAGATGGCAT